TATTAATGTGAATTTATTAAATTGACATTTTATTAAATTAAATATCTTATCAATATAGTTGAAATTAAACTATTTTGAAAAGAAATTTTTTTAATCTTAGACCCTTAATATGAATTAGAATAAAGAACTTAAAGTGTTTCATCCTAACTAGAATATTTGACAGACTCTAATTCTTGCTTAATATTTATGATTTTTGTTGAAATTTTTGAATGCCAAAAAAAATTATCACTTGAATTTTGTGAGAAATAAACATTGTTTGGAACATAATTGTTGTATTGTTCTAAAAAATCAGACTTGCTTTGTCCAACCCATTAATATTTTTATAGGAATTTAATTTTTACTAATTGTTTGTTATTGAAATTATTTACAAACTAAATGCATTTTAAATTTAGAAATTTTTTTGTTTAAATTTTCAATTTTTACAAGTGATGCCTTCTAAGACTTTGGTTACAGTCCATCAAATTTTTTATTCTCCGATGAAGAAGAGTGATTTCTTCTTCTTTTCACTAGAGACTATTTTCAAAAGGGAATAAGAATGGTTTCTCCTGTATAGATTCCTGATACCATCTGTTTCGGCTTCCATAACTTAATCTTTAAAATTAGATTCCTTCAGGGGCAATATAGTTTACACTAACTTGCACTTAAGGATCTTCCATAATCTTATGTTCCTCTTTGGCTTGAAAAAATTCTCCATAAATATATAGAAGACATTCAATGATGGAATTTTCTAATAATTTTTAGTTTAACCCAAATCAGCAAGCAACGGAAGTGGTTTTTGTTATCAAACAACAATAGGAATTACAATATTGTACATGATATACTTATTTGATAATAATCATTGAAATCATAGTTTTAGTTAGCCTTATAAAAAAGAACTTCCTCTTTATTTAAACAAAGTCAATAAATCTATGCCTGACTGATTAATAAATTCTCCATTCAAGATTAGAGCACCATTTGATTAAAATATTAGTTATTGTGATATTAGTAAAACAGTAATATAAGAAGTACCTAAAGATTAGAGAAAAATAAATACAACTTTCTATAAGGATGTTATCTGAAGAGATTTAGGGTATAAATTATGCTCTATAATCTTGGTAACAATCATCTGAATGCAAGATTTATTGCCTGATTTTTACATCCCATAAGCGGATGGAATTATCTCTACTACCAGACGCCAATTTAGAGCCATCAGGAGAGAAGCAGACTTGCATAACACATTGATAATGACCATCTAATTTAGCTTTTTATTATCCTGTCTTAATATCCCATAAACGAATAGACTTATCAAAACTACCAGATGCTAGTATCGTACCGTCAGGAGAGAAACAAACTGATAAAATAGGTCTAGTATGACCAATTATTTTTATTTTTTATTATCTTGTCCTAACATCCCATATTCTGATAGAATTATCCGAACTACCAGATGCTATTGTATCACCATTAGGTGAGAAACAGATTGACAATACTTTATCAGTATGAGCATTTAATTTTGCTTTTTATTCTCCTGTATTAGCATCCCATAGACGGATAGATAAATCATGACTACAAGATGCTAAAGTATTGCTATCAGGAGAGAAACGGACTGATCTAACAGTGTCTAGATGACCAATTAATTAAGCTTTTTATAATCCTGTCCTAACATCCCATAAACGGATAGACTTATCCTAACTACCAGATGCTAATGCAGTACCATCAGGAGAGAAATTGACTGAATAAACTGAGCTAGTATGACCATCTAATTTTCTTTTTTACTACCCTGTCTTAGCATCCCATAAACGGATAGACATATCATCACTACCTGATGCTATTTTAGTACCATCAGCAGAGAAACAAACTGACCTAACATCATTCAAATGACCTTCTAATTTGGCTTTTTATTCTCCTGTTTTAACTTCCCATAAACAGATAGACTTATCTTTACTACCAGAGGCTAAGATAGTTCCATCAGGGGAAAAACAAAGCGAATTTACAAAACCGGTATGACCATCTAGTTTGTTATTTTCTTATCCGATCTGAGCATTCCATAAACAGATAGCCCTATTTTCACTACCAGATGCTAGTATCGTACCGTCAGGAGAGAAACAAACTGATAAAATAGGTCTAGTATGACCAATTATTTTTATTTTTTATTATCGTGTCCTAACATCCCATATTCTGATAGAATTATCCGAACTACCAGATGCTATTGTATCACCACTAGGAGAGAAACAGATTGACAATACAGTATTAGTATGACCATCTAATTTGGCTATTTATTCTCCTAATTTTGAGTTCCACAAACATATAGATTTATCAGAGCTACAAGATGCTAATGTAACACTATCAGGAGAAAAACAAACTGAATTAATACTTCTAGTATGACAATCTATTTTGACTTTTTATTATCCAGTCTTAATATCCCATAAACGGATTGACTTATCACAACTACCAGATACTAACTTAGTACCATCAGGAGAGAAATTGACTGAATAAACTGAGCTAGTATGACCATCTAATTTGCAGTTTTATTATCCTGTCTTAACTTCCCATAGACGAATAGAGTTATCAGCACTACCAGATGCTACTGTATTACCATCAGAAGAAAAACATATAGAATATATATTGGAAATATGACCAACTAATTTAATAATTTGCTTCCCTGTTCTAGAATTCCATAAGTGAACAAATTTTCGGCTACAATAAGCTAATATAGTACTATTTTAAGAGTAGCAGATTGATTTTACTTTGCTCTTACCTTTGAAAATAGACTTTATTTTTCCTGTTCTAACATACCACAAACGAATCAAGCTATCATCACTGTAGGAAGCTAATGACTTACCATCTGGAGAAAATTGAACTACATTGACTTAATTATAATTTCCATTTAACTCCATGACCTCATTTATTATTAAATCTACCCATTAACAATTAAACAATTTTGCTCCGTTTAAATTTATTCCACTAATAATGACATTGTTAAATTTGGATCCACTTAAGTCACATCTCACAAAATTTGCCCCTTATAGTGAAGTATTGGTAATTCTAATATTTTAAAACGATTATTCTTTCAAATCAGCCTTCATTTAAACTAATAAATGAAGAGAATTTGATCCGCACTGTATAAATCTTTCATCTAAACCAGTCAAATTAACAAAAAATTTTAATAATTCTATAATCTTTTTATCTTAAGATATTTATTTGATCAGATCTTATTTAATTACTTCATATTCATCTATTGAATAATTCAGTTTATTAAATTAATGATCTTTAATTTTTTTGAGAACATCTGTTATCCTCTTAATTTGATTCGTTGTAACATTAAGCATCTATTGCTTTTCAATTAGTGATGAATTTACTTCTTATAGTATTTCTTATCCGACGAACCTTAGAGTTTAATCTTACGAGAGAAAATTTAGACAATCTTATATTTACTCTCTTTTCAATATTTTAATCAGAATAATCAAGACTTCTTTATCAATAAGTTTAGATTGGGCCAAAATCCTATAAAAATCTTCATTTTATGCCTTTGCAAAATTCATTTTTTTTCTTTATAAATAATATTGAATTTTCTATTCTTTGATTATTAAGTTTTACATTATAAATCCAAAATTATCTTGCTTATTTTATAAGGAAGAAATCAAATATTTATAAGATTAGGTGTTTTCGGAAAATATAATAGTGACAACTCTCATAAATTTTTGTAATGGTAGATTCTTTATGAATATAGAATTAATATAAAACAAATTATTAAAAGCCACTACACAATCACCGGGATTTCTAAATGAAACATAATACCATAGGTCTCCAGCATAAATGATTTAACTTCCATAACATAAATATATTACAATATTATATTTGATCATAGAGATCTTAGTTTATAAAAAATATAAAAATGTTTCTTTCAACTAAAATAATGAATTTTTTATAATATATTTTTTCTAATATAAAACCAATTATATCACTCCTTTTGCTAATAGTACACCTGATATTCATCCTAGAAATGAATTCTCAATATTTACAATATTTTAATCATTAAATTGTTTATAAAGAATTTCAAAAAAAACAGATAATGAGTTTGAAATTAAAATATAAATTTCATTCAATAAAATGAGAGTTCTATAACTCTAATTATTCCCTTTTTATTGTAAATTTATGCTATCAAAGCTTATTCATCTTGCTGTTAAAATGTGTTGTCACAATCATTTTAAATGTTCTCATATTTATAAAACATAGAGGCTTTGAGACAATTATGTCCTTAGGTTTTATAAATTAAAATGTCAATGTAATAATAATAATTATACAATTTAGTTGAGTTTAACTTGCAACTCCAAGCTAAACGTATAAATATTTTTTGCTGCATAACGTATTCTTTAGATATTTATTTTAGAATAAACTTCTAATTCCGTAATTTACTTCTAATTTACATTTCCTACCTGTATCATATAGCATTAATCATTTTCTCGCTTGGAAGCTTTAATAGACATATATCTAGTATTGAAACAGTTAGAGGCATACATAAATTTCTGAAATAAGTGTTATTGAAACGCAAAAGTTAGTGTTGGTACCAATAATTGGAGATCTTTTATCATGTAAATTGACAGTACTTGCGTGGTACTAGCTACTAATTTAATACCTTCCATCCATCAATGTTACATATTTTAACTCCTTCTCATACATGTTGATATCGATTAATGAATGTTTTAACTAAAAAAGATGACTATTAACTCTCTAGTAATCTAACTTATATGTTGTGGCTGCGTGTATTGATTTGAAAAGTATGTTGAATGCGTCATATTTTTGTCATGTTTAAATTAAGCAAATGAACTCCAAAACAAGTTTTACAATGAATCTTCTTATAAAAATGTACTATTACATAGTTCTGTAGTATTTTACATAAAAATATCAAAACACTTACTACTAATGTCATCTCATAATTTTTATGCCCTTTTCTGCATCACATTGGACTTATGTTAGCATGAGCTGCTATAAATTGTCTTTAGTTTTCTATATTTTTTTCAATCTAGACTGATACATCTTTATGCTTAAGTTCCAGCTACCTCAACAAAATTATTTAAAAGGTGGAGCCTTTTTTTATTTTTGGTGGTTGCATCAAATCGAACCGATACTAATACTGATTGATTTTATTTCACTGTGATATTAGTGTTTTTAAGCTGTTTTCTTCATAGAAACTAAAATTTTATATACCTATTTACTGTATGAGAAGTACTCTGCTGTTAATGAATGTATAAGTAGTTTAGCACTTTTTTTTGTCAAGAGATATTGAAGATTTCAACATGCATTCACAATTTTTTACTTTGGATACATTTTCACCTGACAGTACATGTTAAGCTGAAATCTCTAATGAACCTTTAATATTATTAATATTAAGAGAGTGTGTTCAACAAGTTCCCTTTTATTTTTTCTAAAATACATTTCCTCCACCTAATAAATAGGTTTGTTTGTTGGCAAGATATTATTAAGCTGTAAAGGCACCTACTCTCAACTGCGCTTCTTATAATACCCTATCAACAATAATGAAAAATGCAATTCAATTTTTTTTAATTCTCTTCAGTTGTATTTTATATATTGTCTGGTAACAAGTTACTTTTGTATGAGATTTTTTTCTAGATTAATTGGTAAATTCTTTTTAATCTGCATAGTTGTACCATCTCATTTTTGTAATTTTTGTGCTTATTGTGCTTTGTAATAAACAAGTTTATTATCTCAGTAGTTCTAACGGTAGTTGAATGCTATCCTTAATGAGCATTACAACCTTCTAGTCACACCCTATTGTAAGAAACAATATTTATGTTCGATATTACTTAATGATTCCTATAGAAACAATAGTAATCCATAGAGATTTTAGTAACGATTTTTACAATCATTCAACATATATATGTAGAGGGCAAAAATATAATTAATGTGCTCCATTTTCAAGTAGTAGTTGTTTTATTCTTACTTCATCTAATTTAAAAAGCAGTATTTTTCTATCAACCGTACATTTGTGTATTTTGCATTTATTACTTAATTGCAGCAATCTGCTCCACCTGTCAAATATGCTCTATTGGATCTGAAAAACATTGATAACCATTTAATGTTACTATCTTTACACTATCCATCTACTAATATACTTAGGGTTTTCTTAAATAAGAATTTTCTTGATGGTGTAGTAATGAAGGTAATGAGCAGTCTCAAATAAAGTTGTTTCACTTTTGCAACAAATTCAACGACAAAGACAATTAGAAACACTTCATACAATTAGTTATGGTTCAAGTTTTAAAAGATACTTTGTATTTGAATCCAAGTAATAACCATGTTAATAACTTTACAATCTGAAGCATTAGTAAAATAGCGCATCATTACATTTCTAGCATAAATTAATTGATCAACTTATAATTTTAAAAGGAATATAAATAATAAGTATACTATTTAATTTGAAGAAAGAGCTAAAGTTAATTGGTTAATTAGATTTCGATGATCCACAGCCCCACCCATATTAAGAAGAAATATTAACATCTCTTAATTTTTTATAAACTTTGATGTAATTTATAATTTCATAATAATTCACATATATATTGGATTTTTACCGACTAATTGTTTTCTTCTGCACTACAGCATTAGCTATATTAATATTTCACTACTATTCCGATAATGTATTCTCGAAAACATCAAATATGATCCAACATTCGAATAACAATCAGAACAATTTTCTGAACAGGAATACTTACATTGAAACCAACCATCAAATTTGTTAGTATTACCATCATCAACTCTTTTTGCTTTGTGACAATTTAATCACCACAAACAGAATGAAAATTGTTATTAACAAACTAATAACCATCTCCACATTTAAAATACATTATCCTTGATTACATATGTTTCAATCTTCAATACATTGAAACTTACATTAAAAACAACCATCATAAAGTTGAAGATTTCCATCATCACAATCCTCGTATTATTAGATTACATATAAAATCCTACTTCACACTCTAAGCAAATTGAAAATTAGTTTATTTTACAATTAGCAATTGAATTAAATTTGCAATCAAGACAGCAATCCCATACACCATTAACAGTCAATTCACATTATTCAACTGAATATGGGGTCAATTGCCATCTCCATGCAACAAGAATGATTAGATATTAGATTATTCTTAACCTTGAATCATTCCAACTTTACAAATTGGGTTTGCAATTTTTTTAGAAATTCATCTTAAATTCAACCTTCTTGACAAATCTGACATTTATTTATTCTAAAAAACCTTTATTTAAATTCTAAAAAATTATTTCTGCCTAAGAATAATATACTTCAAAATCTCTAATAACACTAAATTCTCATTTATTAAACAAACCTTATTAATATATCTTAAGTTTAATACTTAATTTGATAAAATTTCAAAACTTCACAAAGCCAAATTAACTATCAATAACTAATGAACCTGCTTAAAAAGTATATCCATCAGAATTAGTCATCTATTTCTAATTAAATATGCAGTTTCCATTCTAAAACGATTGTAGGATATTTTCAATTCATGCAGAACATTCATTCTAACAAATGATACTAAATTTTAATGAAATTAATCCTCCATAATTTTTAATAATCCTCATAAAAATAGGTCTTCTATTATCCTATAGAACAATAGAAATAGTAGCTCTGAATCAAAACATATCAAACCTTAAGATGAAATAATTTTCTCTGAATCCGATATTCTTTTGTCCAATTATAAAGATGGTAGAATATTTTTATCAATACTTTTGTAATTAAGAGTAATAAATACCTTAGAAATTGAGCATCCACTATAAGATGAGAATGAGGCTCTATGTCAAAAAAATTCTGTTATGATAGAAATTATCTAATTCATTATAATTTAATAGTTACCATTAGGAAACCCAAAATATTGAATTCCTCCACAAGTATTTTAATTAGAACTACCTCCCCATATAGAAGAAATTACAGAAATTGCCTTCATATGTGTTAGAATTAATATTCAACTCATAAATCACAGCTTGATGAGTTGTGTAGAGTATATTAAAGAGTATTATCATTATTATTATTAATTAAGATTTTTCAGTTCATAGAATGATATTAATGCGATAATATAAATCAATTAATCATTTAATTATTTAAAGAATTTTCCAAATTAAACAAGCAATGCTCCTAATCAGCACCATGAAACAACTATTATCACTAATTTTTCTAAACTTCCTTCATCCACTGTGATAAATTCATCTAACAGGTTACTCAACATCTGTTATTCATTAAGACTTGTTTGATAAGTATTTTATTTTAATTTTTACATAATTATTCCAGAAAAATAGCTAATGCAATTAATATTTAGTGTCTTATTTCCAATAATTAAAATTCAAAATTATAGAAATGAAAATTAGATTTTCTCCTTTTCATAAGAATAAATCTTTGAAATTTTCTAAGATTAAATTTAAAATTCGAATATTACTGGGTTAAAACGAAACCAATTATATCAATAAACAATTTGTATTGAATGAATTTCCTTTTGGAAATTTGTTATTATGAGTTGTTTTCAGATAGTTTTTGTAA